GATTATATATGAGGTACAATGTCTAGAAGTTTTTTTTTTTAATTTTTTCATTTTTAAAAAATATGTATGTTTTTATTGATTTTTTTTTTTTTTTACAGAGATGAAGGTTGAGGGATAGAGAGTTAGAAACATTGATGAGAGAGGAACATCAGTCAGCTGCCTCCTGCACACCCATCACTGGGGACCAAACCCGCAACCAAGGTATATGCCCTTGACCAAATCAAACTTGGGACCCTTAAGTCCATAGGCCAATGGTCTATCCTTTGAATCAAACTCCTTAGGGCTAGAAGTTTATTAACCATTGCAACATAACACACACAGAGGTATAGAATCCCCTTCCTTCAAGATAGTTGACTTGTAGTCTGTGTAAAGGTACCAAATCACTACATTAAGAAAGATAACTAGTTTCTAATACTGTAAGATTTTTATGCAAATAAGAGGTCAGGAATTCAGGTTTGAACATAATGTAAAATTTGACATACCTTTTAGATACCCAGAGGGAGAAAAATTCTAGAAGGTAAGTTACAGATTTGAGTCATTGATAGTCAAAGTCATAAGATGGGATGTAGTACAAAAAGAAGGTCCTTATGAAACCTTAGGTAAGACTTATCATTCATGGGCTGCTGAAACAAGAAATACCTACAAAATAGATTGAGTCAGTTGGGAAGAGAACTAAGAGCTGGCTTTTGGATGTGCCAATTAAGAAACTGTTATTGGCCATGAAAGGAGCAATTCCTGTAATAAGTCTTTATTCATTTGTAATCGGGCCTAATTGTAACATATGTAGGGACTGTATTGCTTAGTGCTTTGTGGACTCCAAAGCTCTCGACCTTACTCCAAAAAGGATTTATTTTGAGTCAATTTAAAATTTTTAGAAAGTTAAAAATATATATTTCTATAATCATTTACATTTTGTGTTAGAAACTGGGGGATGGGGAAGAAGTAGTCTTTTTTTTTATTATTGATTTTTTTTACAGAGAGGAATTGAGAGGGATAGAGAGTTAGAAACATCGATGAGAGAGAAACATTGATCAGCTGCTCTCGCACCCCTCCCACTAGGGATGTACCCGAAACCAAGATACATGTCCTGGACCAGAATCAAACCTGGGAACCCCCCTTCCCTCTCTCCCCTCCCCCCCCCCCCCCTCAGTCCACAGGCCAACGCTCCACCCACTGAGCCAAACTGGTTTTGGCAAGGGGAAGTAGTCTTTTCAGTTAAAGATCAAAGGAGAAACACAAGGAGTAAGGTTAAAGGAAATCTCATTAGCTAACTTTCCAGGAATATAATTATGCAACAACACTTGGGGATCCAGTGTTCAGAGGCTCCAGATGCCTAAGGATTGCTGTTTATCCATTTGGTAGCTTGCTGCAGAAATCTCCAGGCACCAGGTTGATCTTCTCTCCCAACAGATATCAGACCTTGTATGATTTCTCTATCAGTACTTTTGCCTGCCTGCCTGGTACTTGTCATTTTTTATATGGGTAGTCATTTAGTTTTCTAAAGCAAACTTAAAACCTTCTGTTCCTTTTGCATTTTCATTCAGGGCTCAGTACACATCAGTCAGGTAAAGATTAAATTTAGGGTGCTCTACAGCCTGCAAAGAATGAAAGCTAGTATATTAGCCAGAAGCATGGGATTCTTTAAGATAAATTGCCAAGGTGCAAAGCTCTGACTTTCCACTTCCTATCTTTGTGACCTGGAGAGAAGTGAGGGAGGTACTTCAATTTTTGGGTGCCTTCATTTGCTCATCCATAAAATGGGAGCCATAATTCATGCTCAGAACATGTAAATAGTATCTATAGATAACATGTGGTAAGTGTTAATTGATAGTCATTACCATAACTAATTTTTTTAATCCAAAATGTGTTTATTGGAATGGCTCGGGATGCTTTTAGTGCTGCTTTCTTCTGAAGCAGCATTCTATGGAAGCCTTGCTTTTTCTCCAGTAGGCTGAGTAGCCAACACACAAAGCTACTGTTTGTGCATGGCTAAAGATTTTATAGCATCCTGGGTGCTCCACATCCATGCAGTGGGAATTAGGACTCTACACCAGGAGCTGCTGCTTGTTTCTCTTCTCTTCTGGAGAGGGTTGAAGGAGGTCCTTAGCGAGAGGCATGTTGCTGTGGGGAGGTTGTCACCCTCAGAAATGACACGTCATATTATTTTTTTAAAGCCTATACATCTACAGTATCCTGCTTGCATTTTGCAATAACTTTTAAGGAACTTAAGTATTATTAGCCCCATTTTATAGATAATAGAACCTAAGGTGTTGATGTTCAACTTCCCCAAAATTGTTAACAAGCATTCCGGGCAGATCTAGGATTAGAACTGTGTTGCGTAGAGACAGCATTCTAGTGCTTGCAGTTAGACTGATGGGGGAACAGGTTTCATCTGAAGTCAGCTCTAAAACATTTAAAGTGGATGCTCAGAGCTTTTTTTTTTTTTTTTTTTGAAGATTCTCAAAGTAGGTCCAGCTCATTAAGAAGAGAATGCCTGATTGATAAGCATTGTTTGCCATGGGCCCAGGAGCATGGAGCAGGATTGCATTGTTGCTTTTTTTTCTTTTTCTTTTTCTTTTTTTCTTTTTTCTAACTTCTAGCTAAAGTTTCCCATTAACTCCAGTTGTTGTTTTTTTATAAACAAAACATTTAGGTACATTTGAACACATCGTTTAATGAACTTACTAGTTTATAGCGTAAATATATCCTTATAAGTTTGCTAAAGAAGTATTACTATTTCTAAAATAGTTTCTAACTAGGGCAATTGATGGAACATTTTTTTACAAGCTGTTTCTCTGTCATCTTTTCATTTTCTGCTCTCATGAGCACATGGGTTGAAAAACCTAGTAGTCACCATTTACTTCTAATTTGAGGGTTTAAAACATGGCACTTTAAGAAGTAATTTAGAAAGAAATTGTTTTCATATATGAACCAATTATTAGTCTCCTTGAAAGTGAGAGAAGTTGTCTAAGATGTGTGATATAAGTACCATTTTAAATACACACAAAACCTCCTCTGACTTCTTGGTTTTATTTTAGCCGATATTATCCTATCCCCAGTATCTTTGGTCTTATTGTGGGAAAGTAGCAACTTTGTATTTTAAATATCAACTTACCTAAGAGTGAGAAAAGGCAGAGTTGACTTTCAGAGTCCATCTTCTCTACAGCAAGATGCTTCAGGAAAAGCTGGCCGCAATTGCCTACATTCAACCAAGTGCCCAGGTTGGGCTAGGCTTTGGAAGGGTTAGGTAGCCCTATTTCCAGTATGAACTACCTGTGAGAAATATCAGCAGACAAAGCTCAGAAAGTATGAGACATGGTCCTCCATCCCCTACCTCTATAGAAATACGGAGAGGAGGGGAAAGTACACATTACAGTAGTTTTCCCATTTAGAATTTTGTGGATTTCACTAGACTACTTGTATTTGTTACTTGAGTCACTTAGCCTCTAGTTCTTAAGACTCCTTCAGGGAAATAGAGAATTTACCACCTTCTCAAAGTCCTGGCCATCTGTGAACAATTTTGACAATTTTTTACTTTTGTATTCTCTATGAAAAGGCTAAGCAAAGATGAAATCTGTCTCTCGGAAAATAACTTTCCCCATATTACTCACACTGCTACAGAATTGCTCTGCTCTGATTTCTTGACTGTTATTGATTTAAATCAGAGTTTTCTTATTTATATTTTATGTGCCCAGAGGCAGTGACCAAGATTAAATAAGCATTGCCCAACCGGTGTGACTCAGTGGTTGAGAGTCAACCCATGAACCAGAAGGTCACTGTTCAATCCCCAGTCGGGGCATATGCCCAGGTTGTGGGCTTCAGCCCCATTAGGGGGCGCACAGGAGGCAGCCAATTGATGATTCTCTTTCTTCATTGATATTTCTATCTCTTTCTTTCTCTGAAAATCAATAAAAATATTGATTTTTTTAAAAATGATTAAGCATCTGGAAGAGCTTTGTGCAAGGTGTAAGACTATTTAAGGAAAAAAATGATTTTCTCTCCAAAAAGCTTTCTAGGAATGTGAGTAATTTGCAAAGGTTCTATAAATCATGACTTCTGGAGATTAAAAATATTTGTAAAAGTAATGGTCTTGAGTATTTGTAATTAGATTAGTCACTTTTAAAAAATCATACTTGCTAATCACATTTAAATTTAAATTACTTTTAAGAATCTATTACATGCAATCAATCTTTAGGGATATTTACTATAAATGGTTAAAGAAAAAAGCAGACTGTTATGTATAAAGTTTGCATTAAGTGCCTTATGTAATTCATCTCTTTAGTGTTTTAAGAAAAAAATGTTAAGGTTTTATCTAAAAGGCAGTCCTATTTTTTTTATTTATTATCTTTTTCCAGGTGATATAATCTAAACATTCATTATAAATTATGAGAGGTCTGGTGCACAAAATTTGTGCATGGAGGTGATGGGGGAGAAATCCCTCAGCCCAGCCTGTACCCTCTCGCAATCTGGGACCCTTCGGACATCTTCTCACAATCTGGGACCTCTGGCTCCCAACCACTTGCTTGCCTGCCTGCCTGCCTGCCTGCCTGCTCTCCCCTAACTGCCTCTGCCTCAGCCCCTGCCACCATGGCTTTGTCTGGAAGGTTGTTTGGCTGTCCAGTCTAATTAACATATTATGCTTTTATTATTATAGATGTTTTTAAAGCAATTCTCAGCTAAAGCTTCTCTCCACAACCTCCTTTCCCCAAGTGGAAAGAAAACACTTCATTAATTTTCCTTTCTGAGCAGAATTTTTGTGGGTTTTGCTGGCATGAAGAACATGTTATAGATGCAGACTTTTAGGCTTCTTTCAATAATAATGTGTTTGATCTTTCCAGGTTTTTTCCTGCAATTTCTCTTCTGCTTATATTAGGAAAGCCTCTCCCTGGGAATGTTGATAAATCATAAAGACTTCTCTGCCATGACAAAAACATGTTGAGGATAAAAGCTCCCTTATTACTTCCCATTTCATGGATATGTATTTATTTTTGGTATTTCAGACTGACCCCGATTCTTGGCATTCGGAAGCATTCTCAGGAAAATATGATGTTTACACAGTTTCTAGCCACCCTGCTTGAAGAATTACATTTAAAGAATGAAGACCTTGAAAATTTAACCACCATATTTAGAACCAGCTGTTAAACAGAGTGGTGAGTTGGATTGTGCTTTACTTTTATTTTTCATTTGAGCCTCTTTAGATACTTTTTTTTAGTTTGGAAATTTTAAAAACCAAGTTCAGGCTCTGGAAGTTCAATTGATTCGAACGTCGTTTTGATACACCAAGATAGGTCAGGGTACATGTAAAAATCAACCAATGAATGCATAAATAAGTGGAACAACAACAAATCTACAACAAATCTCTCTCTTTTGAATTCTCTCTTTTTCTCTCTCCCCCCTCCCCTACTTCCTCTCCCTTTTGCCCCTTTTCCTTTCTTTCTCCTTCCCGCCCCCCTTTCCCTCTCTCTAAAAACATCAATCCTATCTAATAAAAGAGTAATATGCAAATTAACCATCACTCCGCTACACCATCATGTCACAGCCACACCCACCAACCAATCAGGAGCTAGTATGCAAATTAATCCCAATCAAAATGGCTGCAGCCACGGAGCAAGCAGGCGGGAGGCTTGGGTTTCCCTAGCGATGGAGGAAGCCAAGCTTTCCACACACCCTGACGGGCCCAGGCCTCGGCTCAAGTGTACAAAGTTTTAATTATAGAAGATACATAAATGCCAACATAAATGGCGGCAGCCATGGAGCTGGAAAGAGCAGGAGGTTAGGGTTTCCTCTGGCAATTGAGGAACCCAAGCTTTCCGCCTGCCCTGGCCTGTCTTGACCTCCCCTTAAGGCTTCAAAGTTTCAATTATAGAAGGTAAATAAATCCAAACAGAAATGGCTGCCGCCATGAAGCGAGCAGTAGGCTTGGCTCCACTCAAGGCTACAAGGTTTCAATTATAGAAGATAAATAAATTCCAGACACCAGGGCCTCTGCTTGGGTCGCTGGGAGGCGTGGCTGGCCTGCAAACCACCACAGGCTCTTCGCCCAGGCCACCTCATGGCCCGAGGCATCCCCCTCCCTGATCTGGGACACCCTTCAGGGCAAACCAGCCAGCCCCCATCCATGCACCAGGCCTCTATACTAACTAATAAAAGAATAATATGTAGATTGACCATCACTTCAACACATAATATAGCTGCTCTCGTGTGGTTAAAGATCCTGCCCCCATGTGGACACAAGATGGCCAGCAGGGGAGGACAGTTGGGAGGGACCAGGCCTGAAAGGGAAGGAAGTTGGGGGTGATCAAGCCTGCAGTGGAGGTCAGTTAGGCATCAATTAAGCTGGCATGGGAGTGACTGGGGTGGGTGATCAGGCTGACAGGCAGAAGCAGTTAGGGGCAATCAGGAAGGCAGGCAAGTAGTCCTGGATTGTGAAAGGGTTGTCCCAGATTGGAGAGGGTGCAGGCTGGGCTGAGGGATACCTCCCTCCCCATGCACAAATTTTGTGCACTGGGCCTCTAGTATAAAAATAAAAACCAAGTATAGACATCAGAATATCCTCAGCTTGCTAAAGGAGAAAATGACATCCTTAGTTCTCAGCTGCCACACTCACTTCCTATCCTCTTTGTTGTTGTTATTCCTCCTTTATAGGCTTACTACAGTTAATTCTGATTCTTGCAATCCACTATCACTTTCATACTCAAACCCCCTTTCCCACCTGGTAAGTTTTTTTCCAGGAAGTAGCAACTAACCCAATTACTGCAATGATCCATTGAGAACATCCTCATCTTACTTCCCTCTTCAAAGAAATCACCCACAACCCAGCCAACACCGTAGTAATCTCATGTACAGATAAACAGATATATTTAAAAGTCTGGCTTTGTTGAATCATGACCCTGCTCCCAGATGCATAGCCCTCTTCTACATCTCTTTCAAAACTGCCTGTATTATTTTAATCATAACTCTTCATCTTTTCCTTTCCTTGCTGCTCATTTCACATACTCTCAAGTGCTCAGATAGTTTTTTTTAAAAAATTTTATTCAAGTTTAGTTGGCATACAATAGTATATTAGTTTCAGCTGTACAACTTAATGATTATACATTTATATACTTTATGATGTAATCACCACACTGTGCTAGTAACCACCAGTCACCATGTCAAGATATTGTGATATTATGACTGTATTTCCTATACTACATCTCTGTGGCTTATTTATTTTATAACTGAAAGTTTGTACCTATTATTTCCCTTCACCTTTTTTAATAATTCCCCTACTTTCTCCCCTCTGGCAACCATCTATTTATTCTTCCTTTTTATGAGTCTTGGTTTGTTTATTCCTTTGTCTTGTTTTTTTAGATTCCACATATAAGGGAAATCATATAGTATTTGTCTTTCTTGGTCTGACTTATTTCACTTAGCACCATACTCTCTAGGTCCATCCATGTTGTCACAAATGGCAAGATTTCATTCTTATTAATGGCTGAGGAATATTACAATATATGTCCCACATCTTTATCCATTCATCTATCAGTGGACACCTAGGTTGTTTCCTTGCCTATTGCAAATAATGCTGCAGTGAACAAAATGGTGATTATATCTTTTTGAATTAGTGTTTTATTTTCTTCAGATAAATACCCAGAAGTGGCATTGTTGGGTTGTATGGTATTTCTAATATTTTGAGGATTTCCATATTGTGTTCCATAGGAACTGCTACAATTTACAGTCCCACCAACAGTGCACGAGGTTCCACAAGGGTTCCTTGTTCTTTCATATTTTCTCCAACACTTATTGTTGACTTTTTCATGATAGTAATTCTGTGAGGTAGAATTTCATTGTGGTTTTGGTTTATAGATATTTTCCTGATGCTTATTGGTACTGAGCATCTTTTTGTCTGCTGGTCATCTGTATGTCCTCTTCAGAGAAATGTCTATGCAGATCTTATGTTCATTTTCCCATCACATTGTTTTGTGGAGTTTTTTTGATGTTGATGTTTTTTATATATTTTGGATATAAACTACACTGTATATATCATTTGTGAATATCTTCTCCCATTCATTCAGTTGTCTTTTCTTTTTGATGGTTTCCCTTGCTGTGCAGAAGCTTTTTAGTTTGATGAGATCCATTTATTTTTACATTGTTTCCCTTGACTGAGGAGATAGGCCTCCACTCAAGGAACAAAAGTTTCAATTATAGAAGATAAATCCCAAGAAAAATGGCAGCAGCCACAGAGCTGGAGAGAACAGGCTAGGGTTGCCCCCAGCAACAAAGGAAGCCAAGTTTTCCACCTGCCCTGGCTGGCCTAGGCCTCTACTCAAGGATACAAAGTTTCAATTATAGTATGTAAACAAATTCACACAGAAATGGCTGCAGCCACAGAGCAAGCAGGAGGCTTGGCTCCACTACAGGCTACAAAGTTTCAATTGTAGAAGGTAAATAAATTTCAGATACCAGGGCCTCCACTTGGGTCTCCATGGGGCGTGGTTGACTTGCAAACCACCACAGGCCCCTTGCCCAGGCAACCCCACACCCCAAGGGAACCCCCACCCTGATCCAGGACACCCTTCAGGCAAACAAACTGGCCCCCACCCATGGACCAGGCCTCTATCTAATAAAAGAGTAATATGAGGATTGACCATCATTTCAACACACAAGATGGCTGCCCCCATGTGGTTAAAGATCCTGCTCCCACGTGGACACAAGATGGCCACCACAAAATGGCCAGCAGGGGAGGGCAGTTTGGAGGCACCAGGCCTGCAAGGGAGGGCAGTTGGAGATGATCAACCCTGCAGGGGAGGGCAGTTAGGGGTGACCAGGCTGGCAGAGGAGGGAAGTTGGGGGCAAACAGGCTGGCAGGGGAGCAGTTAGACATCAATCAGGCTGGCATGTGAGTGGTTAGGGGGTGATCAGGCTGGCAGGCAGAAGCAGTTAGGGACTATCAGGAAGGCAGGCAGGAATACCAGTTGGGAGCCAGCAGTTCTGGATTGTGAGAGGGATATTCGACTGTCCATTTAGGCCCGATCCCAATTAGGGGTCCCAGATTGGAGAGGGTGTAGGCTGGGCTGAGGGACACCCCACACACACACACACCCCTGTGCATGAATTTCATGCACCGGGCCCCTAGTATGAATATAAATTCTTTAATCTCTCCCCACTTACCCACTCCCATCTTTCCTCTAAGATTGGACAGTCTATTTCATGCTTTTATGTCTCTAGATCTATTTTTTCCATCAGTTTATTTTGTTCTTTAGATTCCACATATTTGTGAGATCGTGTGATTTTTGTCTCTGACTGGCTTATTTCATTTAGCTATGGCATGCACTGTCTACCAGGGAGTGGTGCAGAATGAAGGAAGGCCCCAATCAGCCCTAATCGCTGGCCAGGCCTAGGGACCCTACCTGTGTACAGATTTTGTGCACCAGACCTCTAGTGTAGAATAAAAATGGTGAGGATGGCCATCCTTGTCTTGTTCCTGAACTTAGCAAAAAAAGCTTTCAGCTTTTACCGTTGAGTATGATGGATATATGTTCCCTGTATTCCCACTTTGTTGAGAGTTTTGATCATAAATGGATGTTGAATTTTGTCAAATGTTTTTTCTGCATCTTTTAAATGATTGTATGATTTTTATTCTTTTGTTGATATGGTGTATCATGCTGATTATTTGCAGATGTTGATTCAGCTTTGTATCCCTAGAATAAATCTCCCTTGGTTATGATGTGTGAACTTTTTAATGTATTGTTAAATTCATTTTGCTAATAACATGTAGAGAATTTTTGCAACTATGGTCATCATGGATATTGGTCTGCAATTCTTCTTTGGTCGTGTCTTTGTCTGGTTTTGGTTATTAGGGTAATGCTGGCCTCATAGAATGCATTTGGAAGTGTTCCTTCCTCTTCAATTTTTTATAATAGTCTGAGAAGGATAGGTATTAATTCTTTAAATTTTTTTTATAGAATTTGCTTATGAAGTCATCTAGTCCTGGGCTTGGTTTGTTAGTTTTTATTACTAAATTTCTTTGCTAGTAATTGGTCTATTCAGGTTTTCTGTTCCCTCCTCACCCATTCTTGGAAGGCTATAAGCATTTATGTTCAAATGAATTCTAAAAACACCACCTTTTTACTCTCCTGTCCATGCTCTATGTTTTTGATGTC